TTACTTACTCCCTTTGTGAAACTCACGAGAAACTCTTGTCATGGTTTATTAGTGTTTACTCATATGCATTATCTTGTACTTGTACTAATCTCGGAGAACTGGGGCAGGATCAGAACACTAACAATGCTCCTTCTGTATTTAGCCATTGTCATTGACTGGGGAACATAATAAAAGCCTAAAAGTTTAGGAGAGATTATAGTGTTCAGATAATAACAAAATGTTAGTAGGATGTCTAAATATGTATAAAATGGACTATTTAAATTTATTTGCACTATGATAGTTGTTAATGAATTCTCTAAACTTATTACATTCTAATCCTTATAGTCTTTTGCATATCATTAAAACTCTTACAAATATTGTGACTAGTTGAATCCATATCAACATGTGAATGCCTAAGAAATTGATTACTCATAGTAGTCCTGCTTTGTTGGATAGAAAGTCACAGGTATACAACAGACACTAGTATGGCAATATGTAAATCAATGGATGTGTAACTGATGTGATTCTGCAATCTGTATATGGGGTAAAAATGGGAGCTCATAACCCACTTGAATCAAATTGTGAAATATGATATATCAAGAACTATGTAATGTTTTGAACAGCCAACAATAAAAAATTAAAAAAAAAAACTTTTCTGGTAAATTGGTTGTTACTGAAGTTTGTTTGCTGATTGATAAGGATTTTCTCTGTGAGAAGGGAAGAAATAGCTAGACATCTTCAATAAGAGGAATATTTTATGTCCATGTACAATGGAATCCTTTGAAAAAATGGTTTGTAGAGATACTTATCCATGTTAAGTTTATGAAAGGCAATGTGGTATTCAAGTGTCATAGTGCATTTTCTTAAGTTGGATGGACAATTCCCAAAGGTTTGCTTTTTTATTGTACTTCAAGACATGCAATTATATTTTTCTTCTATGTGATTTTATGCATCAGTAGTTTACAATAAAAATTAAATTTAAAGAGAAAAAAAAAAAAAAAAAGAAAGTCACAGGTATTGTTATTTCCAGACTATATCCAGATGATGGCAAAACATGTTCCCAACCAAATCATGAGGTTTCTTGATATTGCATTTTATTCAATAAAAAGCCACAGAAAAATCTGAAAAATATTTTAAATCAAACCAGATGTAGAAAGTTTTTTTATTAAATGTCAAAACAGTAATGTAAAGAAATAGTTAGTTCCATTGTTTGAATAATAGATAAACTTTAGACATTAAAATAACATCAAGATTGAAATATAACATAAACTGTCCAATAAAAAGATATTAAAGTAAGGATTTTATAGCTTTAATTGAAACCTACTTTATTTTATTCATTATAATAACATCACATCCTATTAGAATATCCTAAAACTCTTTTCTTATTGCCTTTAAACAAAATAGGACAGAATGCTATTATTTTCTAAATGACCTCATTATATGTGACTTTTTTCAAAACAAAAAGTAGTGAGTTTTTGGATTCTAGTTCATATGTTTATCATAAAATGAAGACATCTTCAATGATTATCAAAATTCAGCTGTTATGACATGGAAACATGGTTATTATTATGTCTCCTTTGAAGTTCTACTGGTTGAAACATCTATAAAAAGCAATTTATGTTTATTTCATTATATAAGGTTCTTCACATTGATTCAAGACTTTCATTAAATTATATATAGAATGGAAAAATGCTCTTGTAGGCTGAGATGACCAATATTTCTTGTAGATTAAAATTTGATTTGCCCTTTGTGCTATTTATGATAGAATGCCATACTTTAACCTAATCTATATTTGTTTAGGGACACAGTATTCATTTTTGTTATCCTGGTAGTATAGGTGTTTTCAATAAATGTTTAAGGTTATTATGTTTAATAAATTTTAAGCATTAGTAATATTGATTTGACATTATTTTCTAGTAAGAGAATGTTGTTCTTTTTACTTAATTTCAACAGGCTATAACTAATAGTAAATTCTTTCTGCTTGAAATTATAAACAAATGCTATGGTTTTCTTATAATTTGCATATTAATGCTTATTTGTGTGTGTGTGTTTGTGAGAGAGAGAGAGAGAGAGAGAGAGAGAGAGAGAGAGAGAGAGAGAGAGCGCGCAAGTGTGAGAGAAAAACAAGGCAGAGAGGAGACAGAAAGCTCACATTCTAAATAGCATCAAGCACCAAGGCAATATCCGTGGATAATCAAGAACTGTGTTGAAATCTGTACAAATGTCAAATATTTTAAAAGGAAGGCTATAAAATAGTGATGATTGCATTTTCAAGTAATCATTCATGCTATTAGCTCTTGTCCTATTAATTTTTCTTTGGGAGTTCTATTCCTAGTGCCATTTTCTACAATAGAATTTCACATAAACTGGAATCTCATGATAATCTGAGAATCATCTCCATCTTTCTAGACTGACCTTTGTACCTCCATCTGGTTCATCCTTCTATAATACTACTTTTATTCAGTCCTGTGCCAGTTCGACACTGACTCTCCATGCCTTTGTGTTGCCTTCAGGATAAATTACGGATCTTTAGATTAATGTGAAAGTATGTCAAAGATGTGTCACAATGTAGGACATCCATCTTTATATCTCAACCCTGATTATTCACCAGTAATGTTCTCTAGCCAAATGCTGTGTTTCTGTCTGTCCTTCTTTTCTAGCCCTATCCATTTTTCAGAATTCCAGAATGTGCGTCTATATAATGAAGTCCTTGAGGACTTAGTGGTGTAAATAAGCATCTATTATGTTCACTTATTCTGTAGATTAGGAATTTGAGCAGAGCACAGAGTGACAGGTTGTTCTTGGTCCATAATGTTTAGGATCTCAACTGTAGTCTCTGATTTTGGAGGTCAGAATCATGTGAAGGTTACTTCAGTGACAGATAGAGGGGATGATAATAGGTATTGGCTGGGGGCCTCAATCTCAATTCACACAGATTCTCCAGGAGGCCTCTTCGGGTGCCCTGTCTGCATAGGAGAGTCTTTTCTTTCTCCTAGCATGTTGGCTGATTTCTCCACACTGACTTTCCCCAAAAAGAAAGCCATATGGAACTTATATCCTTTTTTATAACCTAGCTTCAGAAGTCATACAGTATTATTTTCACTATATACTATTAGTTGGAACAATCAGAGCCCACCCAGCTTCCAGGGGGGAAGTAAATAGAATACACCACTTGATTGACAGTGGAGAGAACCTGGAAGAGTATGTAGAACTGGAAATCTTACTATGACCATTTTTATTTTTAAATTTATAATATGCTACAGTCAAGGGCTTCAGTTTGTACTCCATATTTTCTTTTAAATGTTCATAGACTATCATAGGTCATACCAGTATTTTCCCTTTCCAAACTTTTATGTGTTTTAATTAGCAACCAGTGTATCCCTTTGGATTGTGAATTCTCCATGTGTATCTGTTTTTTTCTCCACAACTATCCTGCAAATGACTTCGTTGATAGGACCTCAGTTTCTCACAGAAAAGTAAGATCTGTTTTTCCCATAGGATCTAGCATATGGTTTTGGACACGGTAGATGCTCAGTAAACATCCGAGTTAACATTAAATGAGACTAAAATGAAATAAGGGATTTGGCTTTTATGAATCACAAATGAATTGATATGGTAGATATTATGTCCTTTGCAAAGGTTATAGTAATGAGGTGGGAGATGGTGGATATGTTACCTTAGAAATAAATGATCAAGAATCACATGTTAGGTTTAAATAAATGTGTCTGTATTGAATGAACCAAGCAGTTTTAATTACTGGTAAGGCATGACAATGACAGTCAACCAGAGGGATTATTTTGCATCTTAAAAATTTAATTTAAATTTAAAATATATTTAAGACATTTAATTAATCCAAATTATATTCATTCAAAATATTTAGTTTAACTCTGCTGGCATTTAACTAAATTTGAGAAGACTAATAGCGCAAACACAACAAATATTGTAATATTTTATATTGCTTTAAAGTATGTATACATATATTAAGGAAAACCACTTATGCTTTAGTTAATTTATGTTTTTAACATTCAAAATAATACATGTTCATTATAAGAAGTTAATATGTATAGAGATAAAACAATAGTCTTCATTCTCCATTTCCGCAGTAAGGATATCAGTTTTGGTTTGATGTAAGTTGTTTGATTTGTTTGCTAATTAAAACACATTCTCCAGTTCATTTTTTATACATTCCATCATATATTATTTTACATATATACATAGTTCATGCATAATTTGATATTTTAAAATATGAAATAGTTATGTAAGCAATAATTTTCATGTGTCAATCATGGTATCTGATTATCAGTGATTGCTTTAAAAGAGTAACTAATGGACTTTGTGGATTGGATATTTTAAGTTAAAGTTGATTTTTAATAGATTCAGAAAATAAAATATTAACAGGGTGGGTTAAATTTTGTCATATGTGTTTTCTCTACCGTATTTATATTTTGCCTGTGAGAAATAGGTAGTAATTGTTTGATTTTACTATATTAAGCATAATAACTATACTAACTGAAACACCTGTGCTACCCAAGTAACATATCTCAGTTTTGTTAAGTTATTCTAATGGACATGTATAATTTGTATCTTATTAAACATTGTAAAATTGCATGCACTAGAAGCTGTTTAGTCATAAAATTCTCCTGTGGGAGGAGGAGAGCCTTTCACACTCTCCCCACTATCAGGAATGTTTGAGGATTGGACTATTAAATTATACAGAATGGTAGAGAATGAATTTTGGTCAAGTGAACATTTTTAAGGAAATTAGAAAAGTTCATGAGACTCTGTAATCACTCAGGTGGCCAGATCTTTTTATATGAATTAATTAAGCTCATATCCAGTCATTATATACCTATGACACTGACAACTACTTTTTCTGCAGTTATATTGGCACACTTTTAAAATTTCAAGCGTTATTTTGTAGAATATATTTGCATATGCAATTATAACCTACCCCCAAATCTAAGTACATGTTTGATCTAATATTCAGCTACATATTTAAATGTAACTCTTATGTATTTAAGATGGCTGATCACACTGAAGTGATGAAAGGCATTAATCAATATCCAGGAGTTCGATATCCTGTCCTTACTCCTAATCTTCAGGGTTTTCACTGTGCTGTAAGTGTGCTACTCGTTTTTCTAAAATTTATATGCCCATAATTGTTTTAAAGATATGTACTAAGTTAAAATGGTGTCCTGTGTAATTAACTTTTATAAGTACACTACTAATATACTAACATGAATGTGTAGAAATGCGGTGTACCCTCACAGCATTGTTAGAGACCAAAGTGTTACATAATTGGCTCTTTTAATTTAAGCATTCAAGAAAATTAAGAATCAAAACATTAAAATAACAGAAACAAAATATAAAAGTAAAATTCTTCATTGTCATATTTTTTTAACAGTGTATTTTGTGTCTCCCTCTTAAGTAGGTAATACAGGGTACAACTCAAACGTTTATTGATAAGTCATTAATATTCCTGAGATGGATAAATATTTTGTCAAAAATTCTTGGACAAGTTTTTTGTTTCTGTTGCTTCCTCCCTCTAGACGAAGTTCAACTTTGTGTGTACATCTAATGACTTTTCTTCTTCTTCTTTGTTTTTCTTCTGATTCTGTGTGATTTAGGGATTTATGTTTAAGTGAAAGCTTGAATAATTATACATACAAGAATAGCTATTCCAAATTTAAGCAGAAGCTTACTGTATTGTGCTTACATGGGCTTATTGCAATAGTTCTACTGTAGCTACTCTAGTGTTAATGATTGTTCTTTGCTTCTGCATTTGACACTGTATGGTATAAAGCTGAAGTTGTGGAGTCCTAGTTAGTGTATTACGTATTAGTATATGTGCTGTTAGAACCATTTATCTTTTCATTCCTTTGATTTGATATAATCATTACTTTATAAAGAAAGAGGCATTTTAAGAATGTGTAAATGTTGCCATCTTCCACCTTAAGAAAGTTACTGAGAAGACATCCTCAGGATAGTGTACCATCAGTGGGGTGAAATAGATGGCACATGCCTGTCATTCCAGTAGCTGAAGAGGCTGAGGCAGGAGAATTGTGAGTTCAAAGCCAGCCTCAGCAACTTAGGCCGTAAGCAACACAGTGAGTTGCTGTTTCTAAATAAAATATATAAAAAAGGGCTGGGGATGTAGCTCAGGAGAGTTGACATTTGAAAACAAATCAATAGAGAAGCTTTGAGGAAGGAGTGAAGATGACAAATGGGGCCAAAGGAAGAAAATATTAGCTAATATTTTCAACTTAAAAACTGACAGGAAGATTAAGAGTCTTAGACACACAAGACTGTGCTTGTAGCAGTCAGGACATAAAACAATAGAAGCTAGGTTAAGAGTTGGAAGGAAAGTTTGGGGCAAAATCCAAAATGAATTGGAAAAGTATTTTTCTCTTGGATTGTAGGAAAAGAAGAAAAACAAAACCAGCATGTTTTCTATCCTCTAATTTAATAATTGGTTTGAAAATAATGTTTTCTGTGGAAAATAAAGGTTTTATTGGGGTGAAAGTATTTTCCACAATTAGGGTAGAAGTATTTCTCAGGATAATATGTTGAAAGGCAAAATTAAATTGGAACATCATCTCTGTGTTTTTTGTGCCTCATAGATATATGAACTTATAGAATTATTCTGTTATTAAAATATTTTTCCCTTTCAAAACGGAGTATGTGACAAGATGAGAGGAGTCTAGTTTTAAATTTTAAGTCAAATGGTAACATAAGCATGCTTTAATAGTTACTCTTCTGCTATCATTTATACTTTTGAAAAATTTTGCTTTTGGCTTTAACTTATGTTTTTCAGGTTGCTGCTGGAGCCACTGAGATATCAGTTTTTGGTGCTGCATCTGAATCCTTTAGCAAGAAGAATATTAATTGTTCCATTGAAGAAAGTATGGGAAAGTTTGAAGAGGTCGTTAAGTCTGCAAGGCACATGAATATTCCAGTTCGAGGGTACTTATAAAGTCCCACAAATTCTATTTCATTAGCATCTATTATTACAGCTTAGTTATGAACTCTGTAGACATATACATAGGATATCTTATTTGTACCTTATTTAATCAAGGCAGTCTATACAGTCACATATTATTAATGCTATTAATGATTATTAGTGGGTATCTGGCCTATGGAATGTATAATGAAATTAAGATCAGAGGGACTAGCATGTGATTCCAGCACTAACCATTATATCAACTCTCAGCTTTCCAGATTCAACTATCTTTTGATCTCAACTTCGTGTGTGTTGATATATTGATAAAACAGTCCTAGCAGTTTTAAGAAGGAAACATCTAATATGGTTTTCAAATATGTTTTTTCAAAAGCATGACTTTCTTTAAGGACAAGTTTATGTATTACTTTAATAGAATAAGTTGGACATAACATCGAGCCTCTGAGCTGCTCTGGGAAGTTGGGAACATCATTTTACCCATTCAACTTCCCCTTAATTGCTGACTTCCTTACTTCCACTGGATAACCCCAAAGCTTATTCATAGTACCATGCAGAGCACTGTTTAAAAATACTTGACAAACTGCATACAGCATACAAACACAAATAGTTCTCCTCTAGTTTTTATTCTATATTTTTTCTATAAGTGCAGGTATATACAAGATAGTGGTCTTCTCTCATTGCCTTGCCTTTTTCTTGTAAAAACAGCATTGCTCATGGTCTGAGTTATCAGCTTTTCAATCCAGGAGATTCCAAATATACAAAACAAAAAACAAACAAACAAAATCACCTGGCCTGAGATCTACAAGTCCAATTTTCTCACACAGGAGTTTGGGAATGGGATAGTAAACCTTGTCACCTGAGTTTAAAGATTATGTGGTTGTTCTGCTGAGGTCTCTATTTTGGTGTTCCTATCATGGAGCCGCGTGCAAATCAGTGACAAGACGGAGTAGTAGAAAACAAATGGAAAAAAGAAGGGGTCTCCTAGTAGCTGTGAGAGCCAGAGACAGAGGGAGAAGAGAGGAACTCCTACCTTGGTTCTTGCTTGCTACCAGGACCAGCAGTTACAAAAAGTATTGCAATTATGCCTATGTGATATAGCACACAAAATAAAGTCTGTGTCACTGAAGAAAGACATTACATAAATGTCTATTGATTTCATAAATATACAAATTTGAAAAACATGTTGTAGTATCATAAATTGACAGGCATGGTATTTGCAAGAGAAGACTGAGTGCCAGAAATTGACTTAGATGTACATTGTACTTCCTTTAGTTGAGGTGAGCAAAGTCCATAGTGTCAGGATGATTGAATAGTAAATGAGAAAGCCAAGTGAATCACCCTTAATCGAGGATATTAGAAAAGGATTGGAAATGAGTCAAGCCCATTTGGAGAATAAGTAGAGTTGGGCTATGCCATAGTGAACTGTTTTGTTGTTTTTTAAACTTTTTCCTCTTTTTGTGGTAAGTCTTCAACATGAGCTTTTTAAGATGTGGAATTATTTTTGTAATTAAAATAGATATATATCATAGGAAAAACTAGCAAAAAAATTTAAAGCCAAGCTAATGTCCTTCCAGATGCATAAAACAATATTTATTTTTAAGGCAAAATTTACATAACCATATATAAAGAAGCACACACTATAAGTTCCTAAATTCAATATGAATAAGTTGTTTTGTGTTGTTTACCTTTAAAAGAAAGGAAACTAAGAAGACCCTATTCTATTTCATATGTCTTTAAAATGTGAAATGTAAGCTCTAAAGTAATTTTCATTGGAAAGTTGAAAAAAAGGCAAATCTGTAAGAAGTGTTGTTCTTTAAACAGGAACTCTGTAGGGATTTTTAATGTTGAAAGATGTACATAAACAAATTGTATGAAGTCAGCTCTTAGGTTTTAGCTCTCTCATAAAAAAAATGGTTAGTGTAACTGAACTAATTGAAATCCAAAGTCATCTTTAATTTTTTTGATTGACAATTTATATTGCCTCATCAGTAAAGAAACTTTTAACCATACTGTGACTTAAGAACCTGGCAGTCTTTGATAAGGCTACAGATGGATGAGAAGTGACTCAGTAAAACCAAAAAAGTAACTTCAGTGGAGACTCTATTGTAGAACACTGCAGAGAAATATGTGTTTTCAAATATGATTTTTTAAAATTAACTTCTGGATTATGTGGAACACTATTCCTTTATGGGAATATACCTTTTAGCATGTGAGTTCATTAGCTATTTGTGCACTTTAAATTATCTTCTCTCTCTCCCACAGATTTTTTTTTTTGTGTTTTAAGAAAAAAAATTATTTTTATTTTGCAATCTAGACTTTAGGTACTTGCTATTGTCATTCACAAAGCATTGGTATTTATGTCAGGAAAAGAGCCATCTCCACCAGTTAAAACTCAGATGCTTCAGCTCATTTCACATAGCAATAGTTGTTCTATCACATATGTGCTTGATCATCATCCAGAAAATTTATGTCATCAGCTGTCAGATTTAAAGGCTAGAATGCAGTACACACTTTATAAATGTTCACAAAAAACATAAATTTATATAAAAATGTAACTTTCATGTGAACTAACTAGTAGCTTTCATTAGAATTAGGAAGATTTTTGCCCAATTGCTCCTCCCAAACCACACATCACATATGTGTGCACACATTTTTATACATATTCAGAACTTCATGTAATCTCTGAGACACTTCTGCTGCATATACATATATATGCATGAAGTAAAATATCTAAATTGTGTACTTAATTCTTTAATACTTAATTCATGTGGCATAGGTTTTAAAAATCTGGGTTATTTATCTAATATTTGTGTAAAGTTAAAAAGGTTATGAAGGTCAAGGAACATAAAAGTTTGTGCTGGATGTAATTGTTTTCTCTCCTCTTATTAATAGCATTTATGGAAAGAAATATTTATTGATTTTCCAGGATTCTGTTAAATTGAAATGCCTCAGACGTGAAATAATGCCCTATACATCATTTAAAACACTTAGGATTTATTGCTTTTTGTTTAAAATGAATAGTAACTTCTCTTTAATCAAGTCACATGAATTGTATGCTCACTTTCTTTGTGAGGGTATTAATTTAAAGACAAAATTACCACTAGGGTTCCATTAATTTCCTTATTTAAATGCTTATCAATGCACATTAAAAATAAAAAGGTCAGCAGCTCTGTATATCAAAGCATAAACCATGAACACTCTCCTAGAAAGTGGCCTAGATAAGCTATTCTACAAAATGGCCTAGAATAATTTGCTTCATGACTGAACTTCTCAAAGTTGGAACCTACTGAAAGCTCAGTGAAGTAATTTTTTCACTTTCCTATGAAACAACAAAATTATTCATCCATTGTTTTAAAAGTTACAAAATGCAATAATATTGATCTGTGACCTGTTGTATTTCTTCTCAAATTTCCAGAAAAGTAAAACTGGAAATAATGCGATAAAAGAATAAAGGCAAAATAATAACTAAGCTAATATGGACAATCCGTAGAGTTCTTTTAGATCCAGAAAACAAAGACATTTGTCAGATAAGATAATGTTTACATGTATGTAACATGTGAATGATACCTATTAATATGTAGGAGGAGGTGAGCTAGAGAACTCATTTTCTCCATCTCTTTATCTACTATCACCCAAAATTAAGTCTGGTTTTAAAGGTTTCCAGAAGAGATCATATCACATATATTAGTGATCCAATTAGTCTTTAGTATAAGACCATCGTTATTAGGAAGTTCTTCCTGAACTTAATGTATTTCCCAGCTTTATATAATTGACAGATTTTTAAATGGCAATCTTCCTAAATGACATGAAGTAAGGACACAGTCCTCCCCATCAAAACAGTTTTCAGTTTGAGACATGACTTATGATTTAACATATATATTCAAAACCTGTAGACTTTTTGTTGAATTAGCCAAACTACCTGGATCATGTTGTGCTGTTTGTACCCTGTCCTTCTCCCTGTCTAAGGCAGGGTGTTATTATGGATTCTGACTCTAACCCTGAGGGTAATAGCATTCTATTGAGTAAGATAATGATGCACCATATTCTGGGCTCTGTTCTTTAAACACATAGTGCCTAGCAGCAAGTATTTCCTATGACTGATACATTCACTGAGTGATTGACTAAAGTGGAATACACTTGCATATGTAGCACCTGCTTCTCATAAGTGGGCAGCTTCTTGCTGTCTAGAGGAGTTTGTTTTTAACTTCTACCATTAAACTGAGGCCTAGGTGTTGGTCTGGAAGAATAATTCAAATCAACATTTACCAAGATGTGTAATTAAATATGAGACATAAAACTAAAAATGAGGCATCTGTTAAACCTATTTTCTTTCACATGTATGGTTTGTTTGAAGGCATATATATATACTAGCCAGATGGATTTTCCCTAAGTGTTACTTAACATGTTTTGTGGTGTTACATTAAAGTAAAATCAGTGGTGGTGGAGGGTAGAATTCATGGTTCAAAAATTTGTGAGTGTCTGAATTGAACAAGGATATGCATCTCCTCTAAATGAAGAACTCATTTAAACTCTGCCTAGAGAAGTTGGGGGTTGATTACCCAGATTTACTGTTTGTCTGGTGTCTTCTTTTCAGTACCCATCTCATGTGACTAGTCTTCTTCAATTCATACTCTGGGTACATTCATCAATTCTGCAGACAAATTATCTGGAACGTAGATAAATTTTGAGTGGGTTGGCAAAAAAATTATGATGATTTACATTTTAGAACCAGATCATAAAAGCAAAGGTTAGAAGATTAATTTCACATTGCTGCTTTGGTTTTTTGATTCATATTATCCCAAAACAGCCATGATATTAGATTTTATTAAATGAAATAAAATATCTGGAGTCATGGAGACAAATATTTTGGAAGGTAGGAGAGCAACTCAGTAAATTTCAAGTCTTTGAGATTAAAGGGGATCATTAAAAATTTGAGAGCTAGACGATCTTAGCCAAGAAATGTAGAACTATGAGAAAAAAAAATATCTTGAGTTGCCATTGTCTTAATTTTCTAATTGCTTTCTATATACAATCATGCCATTTAAAAATAACATTTTCAAATCTCTTTCAGATAGCAAACAATATAATTGAATGCCAGCTTGAACCTGAAGCATGACTCGAGGTGTCTGGCATAGGTCACTAGAAGCCCGTCAAGATCTGTACTTAGGTGTAGCTTGAAATCTGTGGTGCAGGGCCCCATTATGATTGTCCCAAGGGACCTTTATAAATATGGGCCTCTAATGTTCTTCCATGATTCCTTTAGGTGAGACTGAAGTAATTAAATTTATAATGAATCTAAGGATGCATCATTTTAGGAAATAAAAGCATAAAGGTCCAAATAAGGTAGTTAGGTCAATTATAGTGAAAAGGCAAATGGACAGAGAAAATATAGCAAGTTTCAAAAGATGTGGTCAGAAATAATAGCAAATAAAGGTACTTCAAAAGCTATGAGTCAACTATAAATAGTCTATATTTAGCTTGATGTGTTTCCTTGGACTCCAGCTAATATTTAGAATGGCAATCCAAGCTGGACATAAAATAATTATAAGCAACTAATTTGATGTAATAGACACAAACTGAAGTTGGACAGATTTTGTTTTAAAGTCTGAGTCTTACCTTTATTTACATCTGCAACCTACTTAATTTCTCTTAGCTTCTGGTTTGCCATTGATAGAATGAATTTATTATACAGATTATCATATGTGAAGCAAATGTATAGCTCAGCATATTATTAAATGTTTTTATGCAGCAGCTTTACCTAGGATGGACTACTGAAGGAAGTTTTGGTATTTTCTTTCAAAGAAAGCTTTAAAGTATTTTAACTTGAATCTAGGCATAATAATAGAATCTCAAAAATTCAAAAATACTGGGAAATAGATTCTATTCTTGTTTTTTTATTTAATATGTTTGTAGTGTATCCTTAAGTTTTAGAGTTTTGCCTTGTTGTTGTGGTTGTTGATTTTATTTTGTTTTGCCTTGTTTTTGCAGTGCTTGGGATGAACCCAGGGCCATTTTCTTGCCACTGAGCTAGTACAGAGCTACATTCCTTGTACAGAGCTACAAGTCCTTGATTTGTTATTTATGCTCTCAAGGTGATTCTGTGCAGTTAAAATTGAGAACCAATGTCATGGATTGTTAGGGAAGAGAAGTCCAGAAAATGGATTTAGCCACTTTTCAAAGTAGAGCATTATTTTCATAATGATGGTGGCCTTTCTAAAGTCAGAAAAAGGAGTCTAACTTTTCTTTATAGTGCTTTTTCTATAAACATGCAGATTGTAGTAGCTTAGATTTGGGGGAGGCAGATGGTTTCTGTTGCAATTACAACTATGGTGTTCTAGTGCAAAAGCAGCCATATATACTATGTAAACATAGGCCTTGCTGTGTTCCAGTAAAGTTTTATTTGCAAAAGGGCAGGATTTGGTCCCTGGGCCTTAACATGTCAACCCCTGCTTTAGCGTGTTAAAGTACAGATAAGAAAATGTAGTTGAGGACCATCACAATAGCTTTGGAGAAAGTACTCCATATGTGAACAAGTCAAATTAGACACTTGCAAGGCCAAAAAAGAGCATATGAAAATAAAATGTAATCTAGTGTGAAGACAAAGATTACCATAGACCTGGAAAGGTCATTGGTGAGAAAAACTGAATGAATGAAAATGCCCTTGTGAGAGTTGGGATTCTGGCAGTGAGTTAGCTACAGTCAAGCAATGAGTAGAGAATACAGGAGAGGTTTGTCTGTTTTGTTTTGTTTAGGGCATTTATTCTATTTTATTTGTTGTTATTCACATTTTGTGGGAAAACACATAAACGGATGGCTTGGACTCTCTGTTTACTTACATCTAGATGTTTTGGGTTCAGGATCAATATACAGCATATGTTTAATATGTTACTTTAATTCTTGTATGTATTCAAACTATCCTTCTTTTTTCCATCCTTAACTATATTCTCCAATGTTATGTTCAAATAAAAACATTTTCTTTTCACATGTCATAATTAAATTTAGAAAGTTTATCTAAACAATCCTAGAGTATAGTAACTAGAAGAGAAAACACATAGATTTCCTATCCAGGACTAACTTTCAAATTTTACTTGAACTTGTTACTCTTTCTCCTTCCTTGTCATCACAGCTGCTTGCCTGGATTCTAGGGCTATTTATTTGTTGATTTATTTATGCATGTAGTCCTGGGGTTGAACCTAGGGCCTTACAGTGCTAGGAAATTACTCTACTACTGAGCTACACTGCTGGCCCAACAGATGTAACTGTAAACATAACTTTTATTAATATTTTAATAACTCAAAATTTAAGTTACATCTTGAAATCAATGTACATGTTCTGAGTCAATAAATATGTCATTGTTTTTGTACTCCAAAGTCTATAATGAGTTTCATTATATATCTTCCAATAAATAGGTGCTTATAAAATCAGAGAAATATAATAGCAGTTTGTCTTTTGCTTTTTCTTGCATCTTTCCTCTGACAACTACTTCCACGGGAGATTATACTTCTGGGGGAAAAATCTGATTTCATAACTACCTTACCTACTAATTTTGAGTGCCCCAAAATAATTTTGAGGCTTGTCAAAGCCCAGCATCATTGGTGTGGTATTCAAGGGACCTGTGTATCTAAAATTTTTCTTATTCTGGCCCAAAGAACTATATCTTCATTTCTCAACAACCCTCTCTCCTTTCTGTGGCTTGGTTCTACTCCTGATGATCAGATACATGATGCGCTATTTTAATAATAGTGTTGCAAAGACTCTGAATTAAGTTTGGGATTGGTGATGAGCTGAATATACCTAAAACAAGCTTTTCCAGAAGCTTTATAATTTAAGATGGAAAGGGACCATTTTATTCGCAAGAAAGGCCTGACTTTTATATAAGAGTGGATTGCTGAAGAAGCTGACATATAGAATATCTTTATTTGTAAACTTTTAAACATATCAGACACTCTTCGTTTGGAATTGTTTAGGGAAGCCCATGAGAGAGAAACAAGATGAACTCTGAGGCTGTGCCCAGTTCCAAGAGTTTTGGGAAGACAGATGAGTGCATCAAAATGAGGTCAGAACATCTAGGTGGAAGTGCAGAGAAATTCAGTTAGTCTTTTACATGCTGGCTATCGATATGTCTGAAAACTTAGCTATTTAACAACTGGATATATGCAATTATTTAAATTAAAGTGTTTAACTAGTATTTTCTGCTCTGAACATTAACATGTTATTATATTACCAACAGGTTCACAAGATAAAGATCTGTTACTTTATCACCATCTGCCATCAAATAACATGCATCAAATTGTAGTTATTAGAAAGATAAAAATGTGGACTAATTGAAAATTCTCCAAAATTATTTGTTTGGTTTAATGATAAAATAATAATAAAGGAAGATAGTAAAGTGAAATTTCATGGTGTATTTTAGTTGTTTCATTTTCATAAAATGGAAATTACCTACTTAACCTGCCATATATATATATATATATATATATATATATATATATATATATATTCATATCGCTTTTTATTTTAAATTTAGGTATGTGTCTTGTGCCTTGGGCTGCCCATACGAAGGAAGTATTACACCGCAAAAAGTCACAGAAGTAAGCTACATCTCCAGCCTTTTTGGTTAATGGTAAAATAATGCATGTTTCTTAAAAGTAGACTTAAAAAATTTTTAAAAAACGATTTATTGGTTCTATACAGCAAAGACTACAGAGGGCTGTAGAACGGACACTGTCACTGAAGACAGGGTTGCTCACTTAATTGTTTTAACACTGAAGATCTACCAGTTGGCTATGTTTCAAGGTTAAATGACAGTTGAGTCTTGTGATTTGAGTGCTTTAAGGTAGAAGAATACAAACTTCCATTTCATTTTTATATGGCTTTAAAATAGTGACTGTTCCCCTTTTCCATTAGAAGGTTGGGGCAGGTTTGTATTCACACATTTAAACTTGGCCTTGGTTGCTTCTCCTTCATAGTTTGGTGTCAGATCTGAATGTACACTGCTTCAGGGTTTTGTTCATTTGTGATCCTGTAGATCTTTCTGTTGTGATTAAGTTTCTGTTTTTCCAGAGCAATTTTACAGCAACAGATTACAGTCATTAAATATCTGCTTATTGAAGTTTTTTATTTTCTAGTTCTTCCTTTATTTTTATAAATGCAATGCCCTTATTGCCCTCATTGGGAATTACATTAGGGTATCTCAGATTATCATTTGTAAACGAAGCATATTAACACAAACTGCTGCTATGGTTTTAAGGTTTAATAAACTTAATAATGTGGCACTAAAGCAGTGAAGATGGCATTATTACAAAATCCAAATTTAGACAGGACAAACTCCGTCAACTGAAGCCACTCCTCTTTCATGTACTCATTCAAACTTTTGAAACTTGCTGCAGATTTTTCAAATAAGATCTATCACATCTGTTTTTTATAGTTCCAATATCTCTCCTTTGTGTTGGGAGACAATGTTTAGAGATGTTGGATTTAATTGTGATTTAAGGTAAATTCATTAGTTTCATTAAAGGCCTACAGATTTTGATGGAATATAGAGAATTGAAGTTTGAACTTAGGATTTTATGTTAAGGTCGGGCAATTTGATGGTATGGAGGTTAGTATATGTTAGCTTCTTTGGGGGGTAGCTCAAATGCAGGCAGATATTAACAAGAGAATAGATAGGAGTACTTGGGGGTAGTTAAGGGCTTAGGTGAACTATAGACTGACTCGTAGTATTGATCTATTTGCATTTAGTAAATTATACATAATCGGGGAGATCATGCTTAAGAGGAAAGATGGGGAAAAGGTAAGGAAGCAAACCAAGAAAGAGAGAGGGAGAGAAGAAAGAAAGAGAAAAGAATAGAAATGAAAAAGAAATGATAAAAAAAAAAATAATAAAATACAGTAAAATAAAAATTAGAATTAAAAAAATAATTTAAAAAAATTAAAATTAAAAAATTTTAAAAAAAAGGCACTGTTAGGCTTCTATTTTCTTCGCTTCCAGTAGGTGGTGCTGTGCCTTCCGGGCCAAGATTTTGCCCTCTAGCTGTAGGAAACGATCCATGTGAGGCCGCTCCCTCCTCCCCCACCTGGTGTCTCTCCAAACCTGTTAGCTTAGGTTTATTCCTGGTCTCTAGTCTCCTTGCTTCTCCTGCCAGCCAGGCCTTCCCCAGTGTGATACCTCTCCGCAGTTCAAGCTACACTCTGGGCCTGCAGTTTCCTGGATGTGGAGCGAGGCTATTTGGAACCGGCTCCCTATTGTTTTGATTCCCTCCGATAGCCACTCCTCTGAGAGCTGGCGAGACAGGTTTCGTTTTCACCACTGGTGGGAGGGGGGAGTTGGAGGCCAGGTGCCTTTACCTTTTCCCATGCCTCTATTCACGCTCACTCTGATAATCATGCCCCCGGAAAGCCGGGTTGAGATTTTATGTGATTTCCCCGCTGTATGTGAGAAGGGCTAAATGTCACACACCTGTTCTATCGCTGAACTTGTTGCGATCTGTCGGAAACTGGCGATGGTGACGTCAGCTCTCCAAGATGGTGGCTGCTGGCTTCCTCGGTGGGTTGTCCGTTGTGGTTGACAGATCTGGATCGTTTCTCTCCCCCGTCTCAAACCCAGAACTCAGCCTGGAGAACAGTAAGGGCACAGTTGGCAGGACCCCACAGAATCCGCAGCGCCGTTTCTCTGTGTTGCTGGCACGCCGTATCTCCGCGCAGTCTCTGGCTGCGGGGCGGACCGCCGATCAATCAGCCTGAATCTCCAGGCGCATGGTTCACTCGCAATTGAGCCCCAGTAATTGATCCTCGGGTAATGGAAATCCTTCCTCTAGGTTTCGGTGCACCCCAATTTTGCTGGAGATTCCTAACAAGATAGCTTTTGACCGTTCTAACTCGTTATTCACCTGCGCAGTGACGCGGTACACGGGGGTGATGCACTCTATTCGCCGCCATCTTCCCACTCAAAACAAATTTATAGGAGAAAACAGAAACACAGCAGTCAAACAGAGTTGGAAAGTAATGTGAGCACCATGAAAAACAAGGGAAAAAAGGATTACAAACAATGCAGGACAACTTATATTTACAGGAGAACCTAGAGGCATCATAAAAATGGACAGAGAAAGAACTCAAGGCATACCTGACTCAGATGGAATGGAATCTTAGAGGAACCATTAGACAGCAAGTCCAAACAATGAAAGAATACTTTGAAAACGAATTACATAAGCAAATTCAAATGGCAAAGAATGAACTCTACCAGGAGATAGAGATTTAAAAAAAAAAATCAAACAGTAATCCTAGAAATTCAGGAAACCATAAACCAAATTAAAAACTCAAACGAGAATATTACAAATAGACTAGATCAAATAGAAGTCAGAACATCAGATAATGAATGCAAAGTTCATCAACTTGAAAGGAATATAGTCAACACAGAAAGGATGCTAAGAAATCACGAGCAATCCATCCAAGAGGTATGGGATGACATAAAAAAACCAAACTTGAGAGTCATTGGGATAGAAGAAGGTATAGAGGTTCAAACCAAAGGAATGAACAATCTATTGAATGAAATAATCTTAGAAAACTTCCCAGACATGAAAGATGGAATGGATTGCCAAATCCTGGAAGCCTTCAGGACCCCAAACATACAAAACCGTAATAGACCAACTCCAAGACACATAATTATGAAGATATCCAACATACAGAACAAGGAGAGAATATTAAAAGCTACGAGAGAAAGGAGGCAGATTACATTCAGGGGTAAACCAATTAGGTTAACAGCTGATTTTTCATCACGGACGTTGAAAGTGAGAAGATCCTGGAACAACGTATTTCAAACACTGAAAAGTAATGGATTCCAACCAAGAATACTGTATCCAGCAAAATTAAGCTTCAGATTTGACAATGAAATTAAAATATTTCATGATAAACAAAAGTGAAAAGAATTCGCAGCCAGAAAACCAGCACTGCAAGGCATTTTGAGCAAAACACTATAAGAAGAGGAATTGAAAAACAGCACCCAAAACTAACAGCGGGAGGTATCTCAGCAAAGAGGGGGGGGAAATAACTAAAGAGGAAAAACTAGCCAAATAAAAATAAATAAATGAGCATGACTGGAAGTACAAACCATATATCAATAGTAACCCTAAACATTAATGGCTTAAATTCACCAATCAAGAGACATAGGCTAGTAACCTGGATTAAAAAAAACAAATCCAATAATATGCTGCCTTCAGGAGACTCATATGATAGGAAAAGACATACACAGGCTGAAGGTGAAAGGTTAGGGAAAATCATACCACTCACATGGTCCTCGGAAGCAAGCAGGAGTGGCCATACTCATATCGAATAAAATCAACTTCAAACCTAAGTTAATCAAAAGGGATAAAGAAGGACACTATATACTGTTAAAAGGAACCATTCACCAACAAGACATAACAATTATCAATATGTATGCACCAAACAATGGTGCTGCAATGTTCATAAAACAAACTCTCCTCAAGTTCAAGAGTCAAATAGACCACAACACATTAATTATGGGTGACTTCAACAACACACCGCTCTCTCCATTGGACAGATCCTCCAGACAAAAGCTGAATAAAGAACTATAGAACTCAATAACACAATCAATAACCTAGACTTAACCGACATATATAGAATATATCAACCATCATCAAGTAGATACACGTTCTTCTCAGCAGCACATGGATCCTTCTCAAAGATAGACCATATATTATGCCATAGGGCAACTCTTAGTAAATATAAAGGTGTGGAGATAATACCATGCATTTTATCTGATCATAATGGAATGAAACTGGAAATCAATGATAAAAGAAGGAAGGAAAAATCCTGCATCACCTGGAAAATGAATAATAAGTTACTGAATGATCAATGGGTTACAGAAGACATAAAGGAGGAAATCAAAAAATTCTTAGAGATAAATGAAAATACAGACACAACATATCGGAATCTATGGGACATAATGAAAAAAGTTTTAAGAGGGAAATTCATTGCCTGGAGTTCATTCCTCAAAAAAAGAAAAAAACAACAAATAAATGAACTCACACTTCATCTCAAAACTCTAGAAAAGGAAGAGGAAAACAACAGCAAATGTAGTAGAAGGCAAGAAATAATTAAAATCAGAGCAGAAATCAACAAAATTGAAACAAAAAAAAAACATTGAAAAAATTGATAACACTAAAATTGGTTCTTCGAAAAAATAAATAAGATCGACAGACCCTTAGCCATGCTAACGAAGAGAAGAAGAGAGAGAACTCAAATTACTAGCATACGGGATGAAAAAGGCAATATCACAACGGACACTACAGAAATACGGAAGATAATTACAAATTATTTTGAAACCCTATATTCCAATAAAATAGAAGATAGTGAAGATATCGATAAATTTCTCAAGTCATATTATTTGCCCAGATTGAGTCAGGAAGATACACACAATTTAAACAGACCAATAACAAAAGAGGAAATAGAAGAAGCCATCAAAAGACTACCAACCAAGAAAAGCACTGGACCCGATGGGTATACAGCGGAGTTTTACAAAACCTTCAAAGAAGAATTAATACCAATACTTTTCAAGTTATTTCAAGAAATAGAAAAAGAAGGAGACCTTCCAAATTCATTCTATGAGGCCAACATCACCCTGATCCTGAAACCAGACAAAGACACTTTAAAGAAAGAAAACTACAGACCAATATCTCTAATGAACTTAGATGCAAAAATCCTCAATAAAATCCTGGCGAATCGAATACAAAATCATATCAAAAAAATTGTGCACCGTGATCAAGTAGGATTCATCCATGGGATGCAAGGCTGGTTCAATATACAGAAATCAATAAATGCTATTCACCACATCAATAGAATTAAAGACAAGAACCATATGATCATCTTGATAGATGCAGAAAAAGCATTCGACGAAGTACAGCATCCCTTTATGTTCAAAACACTAGAAAAATTAGGGATAACAGGAACTTACCTCAACATTGTAAAAGCTATATATGCTAAGCCTCAGGCTAGCATCATTCTGAATGGAGAAAAATTGAAGGCATTCCCTCTAAAATCTGGAACAAGACAGGGATGCCCTCTGTCACCACTTCTATTCAATTTAGTTCTCGAAATACTTGCCAGAGCAATTAGACAGACAAAAGAAATTAAAGGCATAAAAATAGGAAAAGAAGAACTTAAATTATCACTATTTGCGGATGATATGATACTATATCTAACAGACCCAAAAGGGTCTACAAAGAAACTACTAGACCTAATAAATGAATTCAGCAAAGTGGCAGGATATAAAATCAACACGCATAAATCACAGGCATTCCTGTATATCAGTGACAAATCTTCTGAATTGGAAATGAGGAAAAACACCCCATTCACAAGATCCTCAAAAAAAAAAATAAAATACTTGGGAATCAACCTAACAAAAGAGGTGAAAGATTTATACAATGCAAACTACAGAACCCTAAAGAGAGAAAGAGAAGAGGATCTTAGAAGATGGAAAAATATACCCTGTTCATGGATAGGAAGAACTAACATCATCAAAATGGTGATACTACCCAAAGTTATCTATAGGTTTAATGCAATGCCAATCAAAATCCAAATGACATTTCTTGTAGAAATAGATAAAACAATCATGAAATTCATATGGAAAAATAAAAGACCCAGAATAGCAAAAGCAATTCTAAGCAGGAAGTGTGAATCAGGCGGTATAGCGATACCAGATTTCAAACTGTACTACAGAGCAATAGTAACAAAAACAGCATGGTACTGGTACCAAAACAGGTGGGTGGATCAATGGTACAGAGTAGAGGACACAGAGACCAATCCACAAAATTACAACTTTCTTATATTTGATAAAGGGGCTAAAAGCATGCAATGGAGGAAGGATAGCATCTTCAACAAATGGTGCTGGGAAAACTGGAAATCCATATGTAACAAAATGAAGCTGAATCCCTTTCTCTCGCCATGCACAAAAGTTAACTCAAAATGGATCAAAGAGCTTGATATCAAATCAGAGACTCTGCGCCTAATAGAAGAAAAATTTGTCTCCGATCTAAATATTGTGGGGTCGGGCTCCAAATTCCTTAATAGGACGCCCATAGCACATGAGTTAATAACTAGAATCAACAAATGGGACTTACTCAAACTCAAAAGTTTTTTCTCAGCAAGAGAAACAATAAGAGAGGTAAATAGGGAGCCTACATCCTGGGAACAAATTTTTACTCCTCACACTTCAGATAGAGCCCTAATATCCAGAGTATACAAAGAACTCAAAAAAATAAACAATAAGATAACAAATAACCCAATCAACAAATGGACCTGAACAGACACTTCTTAGAGGAGGACATACAATCAATCAACAAGTACATTAAAAAAATGCTCACCATCTCTAGCCGTCAGAGAAATGCAAATCAAAACCACCCTAAGATACCATCTCACTCCAGTAAGATTGGCAGCCATTATGAAGTCAAACAACAACAAGTGCTGGCGTGGATGTGGGGAAAAGGGTACACTTGTACATTGCTGGTGGAACTGCAAATTGGTGCTGCCAATTTGGAAAGCAGTATGGAGATTCCTGGGAAAGCTGGGAATGGAACCACCATTTGACCCAGCTATTGCCCTTCTTGGACTATTCCCTGAAGACATTAAAAGAGTGTACTACAGGGATACTGCCACATCAATGTTCATAGCAGCACAATTCACAATAGCTAGACTGTGGACCCAACCCAGATGCCCTTCAATAGATGAATGGCTAAAAAAAATGTGGCATTTATACACAATGGAGTATTACGCAGCACTAAAAAATGACAAAATCATGGAATTTGCAGGGAAATGGATGGCATTAAGGCAGATTATGCTAAGTGAAGCTAGCCAATCCCTAAAAAACAAATGCAAATGTCTTCTTTGATATAATGAGAGCAACTAAGAACAGAGCAGGGAGGAAGAGCATGAGGAAAAGATTAACATTAAATAGAGATGAGAGGTGGGAGGGAAAGGGAGAGAGAAGGGAAATTGCATGGAAATGGAAGGAGACCCTCATTGTTATACAAAATTACATATAAGAGGTTGTGAGGGGAAAGGGAATAAAAAAAGGGAGAGAATTAAATTACAGCAGATGGGGTAGAGAGAGAAGATGGGAGGGGAGGGGAGGGGGGATAGTAGAGGATAGGAAAGGTAGCAGAATACAACAGTTACTAATATGGCATTATGTAAAAACGTGGATGTGTAACCGATGTGATTGTGCAATCTGTATTTTGGGTAAAAATGGGAGTTCATAACCCACTTGAATCAAATGCATGAAATATGATATGTCAAGAGCTTTATAATGTTTTGAACAACCAATAAAAAAAGATCTATCACATCATCTTATTGAAACAAAAATCTTGCACACAAAGGCAGATATGTTATGAAATAATGAAGCTTAGATTTTGTAGTCTTTCACCAGACTCCTTGCTTTTCTCTCTTTTGCTCTGCTTCACCTGTGGATGTACCACACACTGGATTCCTGCACCAGAATGCCTGAGGAGCTGCTAAGAGAGCTCTGTGGCAGGCAGATTGGAAGCCTTAGACATTCAGGATCAGCAGCATCTTAAAGAGACCCTTTGCGCTGTTTTCATTTTGCACTCTTTTTTTTCTGAAATGACTGTTTCAAGCTGTAATTATCTTTTCAACCTCTAGTCCTCCCTTTTTCTTCCCGCAACCCTTGGCTTTTGCTTTATCATCACACTGCCCTTTACATTTTACTATTTCCTGCCTGAGATGCTCTTTACATTTTGTATTTCAGCTGCCTGGAACCTGCTAATCTGTGCATTCCATATTCTTTCTGGAACCCTCTTCTTAGACCCTTCCTTCCTTCGCTGTTCAAGCTTACTGTATCTCAAGTTGTCACCTAAGTCCTTCCTGCATGAAAGATGGGTCAATTTCCTTTGATGTATGCTCATAAAATCTTGTTTCTTTGTTTTGGAATTCTTATTTTAGCATATTATTATTATACATTTCTCAGTGGTGTTATATATGTTCTCACTGGACTCAAAACTCCATAACAGCATAAGCTATGCCAGTATCTGCTTTCCTATCTAGCATAGTGCCTGCATAAAATAGATTCTGGGGAAGTACATGTTGAATGAGTGAATGAGTGAATGAGTAGTATGTGCCAGATTTTATATAGAGTGACTTTTACACATTCTCATTTTCACAACCAAATATGCCATTAACATTGGTACGATTAACATAATTTTTATAAAATGACAAAATTAAGGCTTAGGAAACACACCAAAGGAAGAAATTTTGTTGTCTGTATCCTTTAGACTAGGAATTAAGGTCTTAATAGGTGGATTGATTCATCACTAGCTTTGATGGGGCTGATATTTAAATCCAAATCTCTGATTCCAAAAACCATGTCTTTGTCAAAATATCATGGTGTCTTCATGCAAATTCACATTATTCTTTGAAAGTGACAATAGTTATTGGGTTAGAGGAAACATTACAATTTATATTGTACAAGTGCATTCATTTATGAGCCAGGAAAAGTTAGACCAGTCCTCTACCAACTGAAAAGCTGAAGCTGCTACTGATGTCTATTGACATTTGATGTCATACCTAGAGGAATACTACTTTCCAAGTAAATCTGTAATTCTTATGTTTGATTAAAGTGTTGAGACGTATCAGCCTCCCATCATTAAAAGTGTGGCTTATAATTTCATAACTGAATAGATAAATGGATAATCAAACAGATGATTCTAAGATAACCTTGAATATCAGAAAAGGATAATGGTAGTAATTTCATTCAAAGTTTTATCTAATGCTTAGAATTCAATGAGAAAGGGGAAGGACTAGAAACCTAAAGCATATATTTCCATGGATAAAGTCACTTTAGTTGTGATTTTTACCTCTAGATGGTGTTTGCTAAGGAACAAGGAGGTATAAGTCTGTTCATTTCCATTGTCTTACAAGCACTTGGTCTTTCTCAACAGGTGTCTAAGAGATTGTATGGCATGGGCTGTTATGAGGTTTCTCTGGGAGACACCATTGGAGTGGGGACTCCAGGAAGCATGAAGAGAATGTTGGAAAGTGTCATGAAAGAAATACCTCCAGGTGCTCTTGCTGTTCACTGTCATGACACTTACGGACAGGCCTTAGCAAATATCCTTACGGCCCTTCAGGTATTTTGCATTTTTGTGTTACAAACTCCTTGTTTTTCTCTCTTTTGGGTGCATCTCCTTATTTGTAATATAAGCACGTTAAGAGTATTAATGAAATAATATTTATAAAATGTTATGAATATAATATTCAAGCATTTTATATTATAAAACAGAAAAATGTTAAGAATATAATGTTTAAATATGATAGGCATTCAGGAAGCAGTTGTAAATTCAAAATGTTTTTGTTAGGGCAGTGAAGGTCTCATTGCTGTTAATTTGATTTGATTAAATTTGTGAATCTGTTATTTTTAATTATTAATCCTAGTAGAGCTATGTCTGCTTGTTTCAACTCCCGTATGCTCTCAACCATAAAAATTAACAGACTGATATATGATGATATTTTGAGGAGCACAAACAAAAATCGTAGAATATACTGTTGTAATTTTTGGAACAAATGCTTTTTGTTATTTTGTGAGCTGTGGTGGGTATATATGGAGACAAAGTGCAGAATATTTTGCTTGAAATATTTTCCTGATGTTGGCAACCCTGCATTTGACAGAGCCTTCTCTTTTTAAATCAAGTGAAATCCATAATATGATAAAATGAAGAGATCTAAAAAGTTGCAAGATTATGAATTGCTTATTAAATTCTGTGTTGTTTTAAATTTACTTTATATATATATATATATATATATATATATATATATATATATATAATTTTGTGAATATTATTTTTAAATTAGTGTTAGTTTTTTAAACTCAGCTAAAAATAGATGAGTCTGATGATCTTTGAACCAAGTATTTTGACAACTACATATAAGACTGTATGAAAGCTTTTTGGTGAGGCTGAAAGTCAATATGTAAAGCTTAATGTCAGAAGTGTACAGTTGCTTGGCAAATGTTGAAAAACAATGGGAAGAACAAGCTCCACAAGAGCTTATTTTGACATTGTAACATATGTGCATAAATCCTTACTTATCTTCTGGAACCAAGTAAGGAACATTCTACTGACTCAGAGAGAAGATAAAATGTTGTCCTCTGGTCTTTCAGACATGGGGACTTTTACAATTTTCCTTGCCTAGGTATTCTAGTTTCTAAAACAATAGATAACTAAGCTTTATTTCAAGATTCTGGATTCAGCTACAATTGTAACAATTTATTAAGTGTTCCTGAGCAAGTTCCTAAAGTACTTTTAGTCTCTCTCTCTCTCTCTCTCTCTCTCTCTCTCTCTCTCTCTCTCTTATTTTTCTTTTATTTCTCTTTGTGTATGTATCTTCCATATTTGAATACTTTGAGTAATATTTTATTTGTGTAGTAAATTTATTATTCAATGAATGGTAGTTTAGTTCTTGGGGATGAAAAGTTATAGTGTAATATCCGGGAACCCAAACTTTTTTTTGTATGTGTGAACTCTATATGCCTCTTGAAAATGCTGAAATACAAAAGTTATTGCTGATTTTGCATGGTGAATGATTAAGGAAGGCCTATCTGAGGAAGAACATCATATGCTACATCATTATGTTTCAGTCAACAATGATCTTATACACAATAATGGAGCTAAAAAATTCCCATCACCTAGTGATAACACAGCCATCATAATGTCCTGTTGCAACATTAAACATTGTGCTACTCAAGTGTTTATGGTGATGCCCTGTAAATGCACCTAGCAGGCTACCAGCCTATGAAAGTCTAGCACATACAGCATAGCACATACTACATAGCACATAAAATATTGTGTATGGCACATAATACTTTACAATGATAATAAAGAACAGTTACTGGTTTATGCATTTACTATACCATACTTTTAATTATATTTTCTGTTGATTTGAAAGAGGTTTTTTGTTTTTAGGTGGTTTTGGATATTGAGCCAAGGACCTTAAGCTTCCTAGGCCCACACTGTATCATTGAACTCAACCCCTAGCCCTAACATTATTTAATTAAATTAATTAATTTATTAGTTAATTTTTGTGGTGCTGGGGATTGAATATAAGTCCGGTCTGCACTAAGCTATATCCCCAGCACTTTTTTATTTATTAGTATTAATTTTTGAGACAGGCTCTCACTAAGTTGCCCAGGTTGACCTTGACCTGTGATTCTCCTATGTCAGCTTCCTGAGTTGCTGGGATTATAAATGTGTGCCACCATGCCTGCCTTGAATATACTCCTCTGTTTATTAAAAAAAATACTGCAAAACAATAATGCCATGTTATGCAAAGAGCTGCCTCATATATCCTATGTTTACTGTGTCTCTTGAATGCATCAAGAGGCCATTTGGAGTGATTGGCCAGTGCACTATACGATGTTTGCACAACGGCAAAACCACTCCTTTCCCATAATTAAAAGATATATAACCATAATTGTTAAAATCAGATGTGAAGAATTACAAGGAACAATCTCCAATAAGGACTCTCTGTGTGTGTGTGTGTGTGTGTGTGTGTGTAAAGAAGAATGTTTTAATACCATTTGGGCAAAAAGCCCTGGGTGATAGGAGGAACATGTCCTCAGAACTAAAAGAAGACTAATGTATTCAGAGGAAAAACCTAAAAACTAAGATCTCTACAATTTACAAAGTTAATTCAATTTTTTTGTTGTTGTTGAAAACATGGCAGCATTTTATTATTTTGAAATGAGACAGATCTTTGTTAGTATCACTATAATAATAAAAACCATAGCAAAAGAAATCATAAACTCAATCACATACACAATTTATGTGGAAAAAATACTATAGGCAATGTCCAAAAGACAGCAGAACCAACTAGATACATCTAAGAAATACTATGATTATGACTACCATTCATTTTTACTACATTGATATCTGTTTATCAGAAAACAAACTGGTGGGGGAAAATAAGCATAGGATAAATGAAGTTTACAGAAAAAAGTCAAAATATATCTTTTAAATAGTTGCAAGATGTTGAGCTCCACTTATGAAATATATATGAATATATACGTAGGAGAGATAAATTTTTCATTTATCAATAAGAGCATTATAAAAAATTTTTCTTTCATTTTTATGACAGTTTGAATTGCAAATAGCAAAACTTCCTCAGAGGTCAGCTTGATTATTTTACTAATGTGTTTCAGGTTTTAAAGTTGGCTGCATTTTGTGTTTGCAGTTTTACTTCTAGGTGTTTTCTTTCTTCATACCTTCTAAGTTTAATAGGCTTACACAAGGTTAATTCAATTGTATCATCTCTTTTTTTAGATAAGAGCTAAAATATTGGGGCATGTAGGCATCATGTTATAGCCACACAGGGGACAAGAAACAACTCTGGGCAGAAGCAGGGCAGGGAACATGGTTGAGAATCTATAGAATACTGTTTTTCTGGCAGTGGGTGGGGGAGAAATACAAAGTCTCCCTGTATCCAACATAACCTTCCATAGGCCCTTAGTGGGTTTAGGGTTCAAATTCACATTATCTGCAGAATTTGAAAGACCCAAGCATATAAATTATTTTTAGATAGTTGAGAGTCAGAACCTTCAGATTCCAAGAACAGGTCTTTTATGAAGGAAGACATCTTCAGCTTAAGCTAAACTACTATTTGGATTACTGTGTGTGTGTGTGTGTGTGTGTGTGTGTGTGTGTGTGTGAGAGAGAGAGAGAGAGAGAGAGAGAGAGAGAGAGAGAGAAGGTAGGTTTTTATCTTTCAGCAGCTCCCATGGAGGTTAGTACAAAGTCTAAGCATCTGCAACTGTGTTTTCTTTTTTCCCCACATACACAAACTGTATGTATATATGGCAGGCTGGAATACAGAGGGAGACGAGGACTTAGAAAGATACTAGTATGCATCCAGCTTCAGTTACATTGACCCAGACTTAATTAATAGTCACAGTGTACACACACAGACAAAGGGTAACACTGACTTGTATAATAAGCAACTTCACATGAGGCTCCTGAGGCCACTATCAAGGAATGACTGAGAAAAAGGTCAAAAAGGAGAGATGAGCAGAGGAAACAGAAAGTTGAACAATTGTAGAGTGTTTTTGTCATTTAAAAATTTTTTTGCCATCCACTTTTATATAGTTTGATAAAACATTGACAATCTAAAAAATATTGCTGATTTGTTGCATTTCTGAAATTGCATGTAATTAAGGCAATCTTTAAATGTTTTAGAACTTTTAGGTTTATTAAAGATAATTAGATGTGGTCTTGAAATGTCACAGAAAATGCCCACTTGGTGGTCCCAAGCAGGACTACATAGGGGGAGTCTACTAGAGCCCTTTTATCAATCCTTCAACCGGTCACTAATAACAACAGCAAAACAACCAGGTTTAATTTTGAAGGACACTAAAGGATGTCTTGGAAAAAACTCTCAGTGTTTAAATAGAAGGGAAGTCAGAGAAAGTCCAGCTTCATTATAAACAGGGCTGATCTTGGCTTCAGGAAGCAGTGGCCATACTTTACTTTTTAAAATGGAATCTTTGAAGTGGCTGCTAGTAAAATTGGTGGTGGATGTGGGGTGGATATCATTTGCTTTAATTTAGGGGTGGAGAAACAGTTTACAGTGTTCCAAACTGGAAGTTAATATTAAGGCAAGGAGACATGTAATAAGTGGAAACTTGGCCACAATGGTAGGAAACAAATGAGAGTTATAAATGGAACGTCCCCCTCAGTCTGGAAAGCACATACTAGTCATATAATAGAGGGATCTTTCTTGGTTCCCAGGTTTTATTGTATTTTTTTTATTACTTAAACATATGACTTATAGGACTAGAGATGGTTGTATGGAAGTCAAGAATTCATAATTATTAGATATTATTTAATATAAATTATTCTGAGAGTATAGATTTAAGTGTGGTGTATTTATAACCACCCAAAAGTAAAAGAGCAAGAAAATGAGGTGACAAAACGTGCACTCTTTTAGTAACGGAAGAAATGTACATAGTCCTATATACTTGTCTTGATTTTTAATGTAAAAATTAAGCTTCACTCTCTTGCATATTCCCTAAGTGCCTAAGTCAAACACCAGTGAACAAATTCTTTAATCTACTTAATACTAAAAGTTGCTCATTTTCCTC